ACTTTCAACTCGTCTTCTTGCTGAAGCATCCACGAAGGCTTTATATAAAAAGCTGTCAGCCCTGAAGGAAATCATTCTAGCGCCGGGTTGCTAGATAAATGACTAGATGACGGGTTTGGGCGATACCCGTTCCCAACCTAACTTCGCGTCCGTATGAAGGGCTGTCAGGACACGAACAAGAAGGACATCGCTGAAGTCGAGGTGACTGCAGAAGACGAGTGACGGATCGTGAGGAGAGAAGGAAATGGAGATGACCAACCAGAACTGTGGACAAAACCCTTCAACGGCGCGAGATCAACGCTAGGGTAGAAAACGGTGAAATCATCGGAATTTGATGAGCCTTTCATCAGTTTTGAAGGAGTTCGGTCGAAATAAAACAACAATAATCAAACCATTACTGTCCATAGCATTAATTGTATGGACTGTGCAATGTCCATAGAATGTCCGAAGACCAGATGATATGATATCGAGTTTTTTGACTACAAACTACGTGAGGAAATTGAGGGGAGGAGGTAGGAAAGAAGGACTCGGAGGTAGGAACGGAGGACTGGGAGTGTTGAGCCTGGAAGCTCCTTCACTGATAGTGCGTCACACAACAAATTCTAATGGCTTGCAGAGGTTATGTGCCTGGCTGGTCCTGGTCACGACCATGACCAGTCAGGCACTTGCTTTGGCCCTGGTGCAATATGGAGCCAATCTGGAGATGGTAGGATAAAATGCAAAAACGGCAAAACCTGGGGTTTCCGAACCATCAATCCATCCTCGCCGTCCTTCCTCGAAGTCCACACCGCTATCCATCACACCATCCGACGCTGCTGACAGATTAACCGTGGAGAGCCTATATAAAACTTCCCCGCACTTTTCAAAATGTGGCCCCCTTTTTTGGCCACCTTTCACGTTATTTTCGATGCGCAGTCAACTGGCGCCTTCTACTGTACGGACAGTCAACGCCATGAATGAAACAAACGACGCTGAGTGGGTTAAAACGGCGATTTCTGGCAAAATCGTTTTCAGTCATTTTTTGGCATTCAGAAGGCCATTTAGCGGAAATGGACCATAGTTTTATACTCAGTGCTCATGCCCCTATACCACGCAAAAAACCATTTTCAAAAAGCGTCCCACGCCCTGAAAGACCTTCCTTGTCAGGGTTATCATCTTGCCGCCTGTACTCCCACCTACTTCGAACGCTTTAGGTGTACGTTGACAGGAGTTATATACTTCCTTTGAAACCACTCTCGTCGTGCGCCACACCCTTCGTGGATTTAGCTTACATCATGTGTTCCTAAGTGGCCCTACTCATTCCCCTTTGTTTCGAACTGAGTAATCTGTTTCACTTCAATTTCAGGTAGGCACCATATAAGGTAAACATATAAACATATAAACAGGTAAACATATAAACACATCAAGGGACAAACAGACCAACAGACATACGGACCTTTGCGATTATTTGTAAGTAGCCGCTGGATACCGTTCCGGGACTTCTATGAAGTTCTGCCCACTTTTTTCCGAGTTTTAAAACGTTTTTGAGCACAGTTATGAATTTTCGATCACAGCTCCACTCACCTTAGCGCAAGCCTCACCCAGATTGCATTGGAAATTTGACCAAAATTCTTCTGTAGCCTCTGACCACATTTTTTCTGCGTTTTGGAGTTATACATTTCTTCAAAAACTACTTTCCATCTGAATATAAGTCCCGACCATCGTAGGAGAAGCTTCGCTAGGTTCAGACATGCCCAGCACGCAGAATGCCTCGCTCACTCACTCTTTCTGCTTTCTTTTGGCATTCAGGCTTTGTTGGGGCACCTTCACCTGAGTTGCTGACCCATTTCTTACATTGATCTATCTTTTCCTGCTGTCTGAGCTTTTTTAAAACCGAAATAAGACACGGTCCAGCGCTTGTCTCAACCCTAGTGAGCGGAGTTCCGCAAGCCCTGTCGATCTTCTCCTAGGCTCCACCCACCTAGTTTCTGGCCCGACCTCTGCAGGAGTCTCTCAGGTAAAACCGGATCCCGCGACAGACATAAAAACTACATACATCCATACACATACATCCATACGTCCGTACACACATACATACATACATTTATAAACACATATATACATACATATATTAGGTGGGTGCGTAGCGATTCGTGCGGTTCTAGGTGCGCGCGACAAATTGCACGGCGAAGTTCGTGGCGATTTGTACGACTACAGCGTTTATCATTGGGACCCAAATTTGAAGTAGAGTAGATTAGAAGTATCATCTGACCCTACTAAACTACTCTACCTCAAGTTTGTGCTAGAATAGATTCGGTCAGCTGGAAGTTTGTGTCGTTGTCGCTTAGTATCTTCAATGGAAATCCTCTTCGAGCGATAAATCGCTTGAGCGTGAAAATGAAGCTTCTCGCTGATAGATCCATAGCTGTGTCCAACATAGGGCAATGTTCGAGTCGCTGAAGACTAAGACACAACTAATCTACGAACGAAACTTCGACAATGACGACGAAAACTTGGGATGCACCTCCGCGTCCACTGAAGAAGTCAGACACACAGTATGGCCCCTAGAGCAAACCAACAGCCTCTCCAATTTTCTACGAATCACCTCGTACTGTGCTCGCTTCATCCGAGCGAGAAGGGACAAAATTTTCGCCCTTAAAACAAAATCGCTGACGACGGCCACACCCTCAGCTGAGGAGATGACATTCGCCGAAAAACCCATCATCCAGCATGAACAAACCAAGCACAATTCTGCTTCACTCATGGAGAACAAAAAGCTGAATGTCAAACTGGATAGCGAAGGCATATTGAGAAAGTGCAGTAGACTTCAAAATGCAGACGTTAGCTTCCACACTGCGAATCCTATTCATATACCAAAACAAAGTAATCTCGGATATCTTATCGCACTGCGACTGCACAATAAACTTTCACACTGTGGAACGAACCAGCTTCTGTACAACATCAGACAGCGATACTGGATCCCACAGGATCGAGTTCTTTGTAAAAGGATCTTGATGCACTGTGATATGCAGTAAATACAATGCTGCACTTTACAGGTACCCAACTATGGGTCCTCTTCCTTCAGAGCGTGTTACACAAGCACCTCCCTTTTCTCATACTGGCGTAGCCTTCATGGGTCCGATTATGGTCAAGTCTTCATCCTGAGAAGACTCCAAGCGATATGTAGCTCTCTTCGCCTGCTTAGTCACAAGACTTGTTCATTTAGAAGCAGCTATGGATCTATCAGCGAGAAGCTTCATCTTCACGCTCAAGCGATTTATCGCTCGAAGAGGAGTTCCATTGAAGATACTAAGCGACAACGGCACAAACTTCCAGCTGACCGAATCTATTCTATATCAAAATCGGAACCACGAGGAAGACAGCCGCTTGTCTCTGTTCCTTCTCTCCCATTACCGGGATGCTGCTAATTGACGAAGCAACTTTTCCTTTCAGTGCTTGTTTAAGGAAAAGGAATTCTTCTTGGTCGCTCAAGTCGTCATCGCTGTGAATGAGCGACTCGAATACTGACCAAAAAGTGCTAAATTCCCTATAATTCTCTGAGAAGGTAGGGACTTCAAGCAGTGGGCGTCATACACGAATGTTGCGTTCTTCTTGTGGCGTTGTTGCACCAGTAGACCTTTCTTGACAGCTGGTGTTACTTACAGTATGGTTGTTGGTTTCTTGAGACGAAGTCATCAGTGCACTTTGTTGCAGCAACTCGTCTTTTCTAAACTCGATCTTATTTAAACGCTGTATGACAGCGACTTTCAGCATGTTCGATTCATTTTCCAGATGCTTGTTCAAATCTAGCATGAGCTTTTCGCGTTCTTTTTGCTCTGCTCTTCCACTGATGTTCTCTATGGCTTCTTTGGCGCACGTGTTGGGAAACTGCTTTGCTGAGTTGATTGACTTTTCCAAATAGTTCAGCATCGAAGTTCCCTCTTCGATGTACTCTTTGCATTCCTCCATTTGATTGGGGAACACAAATGCTTGGCTCAAGTTATTGACTTGTGGTTCATTAGACTTGATAAGTACGCAAGCGTTTGTGATCTTTGTTTTGAACACTTGCATTTCATCCATTTTTTGTTTTATGACCGATTTCTGAGTGTCAACAGAGATTTTGGCAATTTCAGAGCGTTACAACGGCTTATTGAAGCTTTCGTTGGTTCCGCAATAGAGTTGCTCCTGCCACGCGGGTCTTTGTTTCTTTCTTTTCGTGTTCCTCAGGGAGGGTTCGTACGAAAAAAATTGGCTAACTTCTGTTTCTCACTAAGGAGAAGTTGCTCAGAAGTTTGCTGTTAAATTCCTACTTCCTTAGGAGGGTTAGTTGGGAGACTGAGTTGATTCTTCCCAGTGGATTGGAAAGAACTAGTTAAATCTAGACTAGACTAGAGCTAGCTCAGACGATTTTCTCGAAATTCCTTGTTCCTCAGGGAGGCGTTTTAGGAGATATCCGAATTGTTTGATTCCAGGTGGTGGAATGCAAACTTTTCTTCCACTTCTCAGGGAGAGTAGGATTGTTTTTGCCTTGATTCCGTTTCTTCAGAGAGGAGTAGTAGAGGAATCAGGCTTGATGAATTCTTCTTCTGCTTCTCACTGGGAAGAAGTTGTTCAGAAGTTTTTTGGATTCCCAATTCCTCGTAAAGGATAGTTGGAAAAGTTGATAATCCTTCCCAATGGGTTGGGAAGCAGAAGGCATAGAAGACGCTCGGAGAGCACGGGATAAAGTGGTTCACCCGATTCCTGAACACTGTGACCGCTAAAGTAGGAATCCCAGTTGCGTAGAGGAGCAGAACTATCGTTCCGATCTTTAAGCAGCAGGAGGCCACAATGAAGCGTTCCAATTAGCGCGGGATCAGGTTGACTGCTCACACGACAAAATTGTACGAGCGGCTGGTCGACTCAAAATTGAGAGAATTGGTCCCGATCTCGCAGGAGCAGGACGGCTTCAGGCCCGAGAGGTCTACAATGAATGCCAGCTTCATAGCTAGGCAGGTTATGGAGAAGTATCGAGAAAAGCGTGGACTCTGCTACCTAGCCTTCCTCGATCTGAAGAAGGCATTCGACAGTCTCCCGCGACAAGTCCTCTGGAGAGCGCTCCGAAAACGAAAAGTGCCAGAACACTTCATCTCCCTCGCCACAAGAACATGTACGATGGTTCCACGACGACAATACGCACTTCACACGGCCAAACCGGAGAAACAGATGGTACTGTTGGGGTATACCAAGGATCAGCTCTAAGCCCGTTCCTCTTCCTGCTCACGATGGACGTCATCACAGAAAACTTATAGATGGATTACTGAAGACCATCCTCTACGCTGATGACATCGCTCTCATAGCGGAGAGCAAGGAAAACTTTAGGACAGGCTCCAGAAATGGCAGAAAGTATAGCGGAGAATGGACTTCGGCTAGACGGAAAGAAGACCGAGTTCTTCAGCTCCGAGGAGTGCACGGAGTCAATCGTCGACGGTCACGGGGAAGCCATCGAAAAAAGTCCAGGACTTCCGATACCTGGGGAGTGATCTAGCCGCTGATGGTAGACCTGGATGGGGACCAGGCCGTAAACTCCCGAAAAAACGCGGCATGGATGAAGTGGAGGGATCCGGTATCCTCTGCAACCGTCTGTGCTTCAGGACTCCCAAAGGAAAGGTGTATCGGGCAGCGGTAAGGCGCACGATGCTCTACGGTAGCGAGTGTTGGCCCGTAAGCAAAACCCATGAAGGAAAGCTCAATTCCGCTGAAGTGAGAATGCTCAGATGAGCTTGCGGCTGGACGCGACTGGATCGGGTCAGAAATGAAGACGTCAGGACGGCTAAGTAAACAGCCCCAGTTCAACTGAAGATGAGAGAACAGCGCCAGCGATGGTTCGGTCATGTCCTAAGAAGACCACAGAGCCACCCGATAAGGGAAGCAATAAAGTTCGAGGCTCAAGGTAAGCGACCACGAGGAGCTCCAAAGAAGGGATGGCGGGACGTGATCAAGAAGGACCTCGCCGAAGCTAAGGCGACGGCAGAAGATGTCGTAGATAGAATGAAATGGAGACGGCTGACAAGAACAGCGGACCTTGCGACGGCGCGGGATCAACGCTAGGGAAAAGAGGAAAAAGAAGAGGAAGCAAGGATGGCCTCTGATCACCTTTTTCCGTTTACTTGAACGCTTTTGAGCAGAGTTATTAACTTTTCAACTTAGCCCCGCACACATTTCAAATTGGATCGCATAATTTCTTCAACCTCCAACCATCTTTTTCCCACGATGCAAAAGTTTTTGTGAATTTTGAATTTTAGCTCCGTCCACCTTAATGCAAACTCTGCCCGCTCTGGAGATCTGACCATATTTCTCCGAAAGCATCTGATCACCTTTTTTCCGCGTTCTGGAATGTTTTTATTTTTGTAAAGCTGCACTTAGTTTTCAAAAGTATCTTTTATTTGAATGCACGTCCCGCCCAACGTAGACGAAGCTTCGCTAAATTCGCGCATGCCCAGCACGTATTAGGTCTCGGTCACTATTTTGTTTTTTTCTAGCCTCCACGCCTCCGTTGAATCGAGAAACGGATGCGGCTGAAAAGCACCGCCCATTTCTAGGACGCCCCGCCCACAGCACATCGGTCCCCTTTGACTGGTTTGTTGTCTTTGATTGGTTTGTTGACCCGTTCCTAATCTTTGTTCATTTTTTTCCCATGTTTGGACTCTTTCGAAGCCAAAATAATATGTTTGACTCTAGGCGCCGCCCATTGCGCCACTTGTCCCGCTCCCCGTGGGCGGAGCTCCGCGGAGCTCATATGTGCTCTGTTGGGCTTGCCCTATGCTCAACCCATTCCAAACTTGACCCGACATCTCCAGGTGTTCCTTCAGCTAGTATCGAATTTCGTGACAGACAGACAGACAGAGAGGCAGGCAGACAGACAGATGCGAACGCTTTATATACAGTAAGGATAATATTGCTCCAGTAAATACTTTAGCCACTGAATTATCAATCTCTGGGGAGATATAATTGCATTGGCTGGGATCTAAGGTTCCGCTACAGAAGCAAAACAGGGGACAATTGAGAGATCAATAATAAAGGCACCGAATAATTACGCAATAATATCAAGACATCCTATATCAAACAAAATCAGCCATCGCTAACCTGCACTGTCCTTGGGCCTTTCATTTTTGTTCCCCTATTCTCCTGACTATATTCTCACCAGTATCTCCTATTCTTCAAAAAATTGACAGAAAGAAATATGTTCTACGAGGACGATTCTAAATAAGCGATGGTGAGGGATATCCAGAAGGAACTCACCTCGATTTGCAATAATCTTCAAAACTTTGACAGAAAGAAATGTTTTGCAAGTATGGTTCTGAATAAGCAGTGGTTAGTGATATTCGGAAGCAACTCACCTCGAATAGGCGTGACAATAATTGCCCATAGTGACAAAATGGTGAATCTTGGAAGGTTTGATTCTAACAAGGAGACTTGGAAGAGGCAGTTTAACCCGTTGGCGACCGCGCTCTTATATTGTCCTTACATTAACCTTTATTTTCTCTTATATCTGTAGTTAGAAATGAATGATTCCTGGACCGCAATGCTTCAAGATTCTCTAGAAGACTGTGAGCTCAGCTGATACATGAAAACATGAAAAAATTATAGGAACACCTAATAAATAATATAAATACCCAGCGAGCCAAAAACGTGCGTCCTGGCATCGGGACGCATGGTCGCCAACTTGTTAAGGGGCTTTATGGCTCGTGCTCGAATGCAAAGAGCGCGCCCTAGTAGCAATTCGGGTTAGGTTACGTGACAACTTGAACCTTTTCTGCGTCTCTGACGGCGAAAGGCCATAGCGCAGAGAAAGGAGGGTACCGATGACTCAGGCGTGCTCATGCCATCACCCCGCTGCGTCTCTACCCTCCACACCCGCTGTAGGCTAGAACGCAGACATAGCCGCAATCGCGAAGATATGTCGTGGCAGCGCGGAATCACGTGAATAGCGCTTGACCAATGGGCACCTACAGTCATGAAAAGACAGAAGAAGGGTTGTGAGAATGATTGCGGAATTGATATATTGCGATTGAAGATAGGGTTTTTTCTCAAGTAGGCGCAGATGTTGCTCACTATGATGGACTTCACGTCAAAACGTTTGGAAGAGCGATTTTAAGCGAATTTGCAGTTTGTGAGATGTCACCTAGACCCTTTCTTCTAACATTCCTACAGTTTCAGCATTCACAATTTATTTTCCCTGATCCTTACAAATAAATTGTGAATGCTGAAACTGGGAATGTTAGAAGAAAGAGAAACCTGTGACACTTATGTCAAAAAAGAAGTGTAACTCAATCGTTTCCATAACGATCCATAACTAATCGACCTGCTTAAGGTTATGCTGGCCCGGATCCATTGGGTATGGATTCAATACAGCTTAATGAAGAAATGTGAACGTATTCAGAAGTTTAAGCCTTTTCATGTTTATTTCACTTGTGTGTACCGAAGCATCTTTATTTCTTTTGAATTTTTTCCTTGGGAAACGAGGCTGAGTTTCGTTTCTTTACGCATGGTTTTTTCCTTCTGTTCTGCGGTCGTTGCAGTTTGACAAGCGCAGCAGTTAGAGACTCAACATGGCAGGAGTGCGCCAGACAAGGGCAGTCGAACCGTTGAGTCAGCAATGGTCTCACCAGTCAGAAAAGCACAGCAGTTAGAGACTCGATTTCGCTAGAGTGCGCCAGACGAGGGCAGGAAAATACCGTACCCAGGCGAAATTAAAGGACCCGAGTTCAAGTAGTCCGTAGACCTTCC